ATTGGTGGCGAATAGCAACGTTATTTGAAATATTTATGGTCTTCGTTCCGAGTGAGGATTGTGGTTAATGGAAACCGAAGGGAAATGCCAATTTCCAGGCTATTCGTATTTTCATATCCACTTGGCTATTTCCCGATATGCCAATATATTTGCACAATAACTTTTAATGGGCGAGTATTGTGTGACGTATGGATACTTACATGTCAAATTAATCTATTAAAATATGTTTCTATGCGTTTTTAAATATATTATATTACTTATTGTAACATATTTTGTTTTAATATTTTCCCTTAAACTATAAGCTTTGAACTATTGTTTTTATTTCTGATTTTATTTCAATTTATAGCTAATATCATAAAGTAGGGGAATGTTGTCAGGGTTGGGCCATGTTTTGACCTATGTCCATAACTTCTGAACCAATGACAATTCAGAATAAGTTTATACATTTTTTGGAAAGGTACAAGCAAGAGGAAGTGTTCACCAAAAAAAGAGAACAAAAAAAAAAAAAAAAAAGTTATAGGCGTTTGAAAAAAAAAAAAATGTAGTCAGCGTTGGGCCATGTAGTCAGGGTTGGGCCACCTTCAGAAAATCGTTGACAATATCGTAACGTGGTGGAATAAAATTGAATTCAGGTAAATCTGACATTATTTTGTTCATTTATTTAATTATTTGGGATTTTACAGTCAATATCAAATTATTCAGAGTTGTTTTTTTCGTTTGTAGAGAGAAACACTAAAGAAAAGATACAAATGATTCATCTTCTTTCAATCCATCGAAATATTTTTTTAAGGATATCTATTTAATTTATTTTGCATATTTTTGCTACAAAAAACTTAAATATTACAACAAAAATCGAAAATACTCGAATAAAATGTAAAAATTATGATGGCCCAAGCCTGACTACACAAGTGGCCCAACCCTGACGACATGCGGTATTAATCTATTATGGTATGATATAGCCAAACTATATCTCACAATGACACTATATCTTAGTATTTTGTAAAATAATAACTATATAACGTATTTTTATGCTCTCCTTGCGGATGACATGTTGTTTTCTTGTGATATTCACCTTTTTCGGCCAGGTAAAAAAAACTTTTTCGAGCACTTTTTCTTCACGGAGCAACGACGCGTAGAAGAATGAAATTCCGAAATAAGTAGTCACGTGGAAAGTTTCGAGTGACCGATAGAAGTTTCTAGACACCCACAAACAGATTGTTCTAGAACGAATATTCGAAATATTGAGATGGCCCGACCCTGACAACGGCCCAACCCTGACAACATTCCCCTACTTCTCTCGTTTCGAAACTTTTTAAACATAATGAATAACTTATTCAAGTCCCATTGGATTGTGTGATAAATTATATATAACTCACTTGTTTCTCTTTTCCCCCATTTTCGCTTTAAATTCTTTAAAACTTTCATTCGCAATAACTTTCAAGAAGCGGTAATGATATTATATAACAATGGAAACACCTGGGAAACTTCCCCGTTTTCCGCGTCAGACAGTTCAACCTTCTCCGATTCTTATCCCATTTCCATTGTCAACTCGGAGGACATTTTCCCTTTCGCTGGCCTCGACTTTAAAACCGCAGTCAATGGCCTTCGCCCCCGGCTGACAGCCTTCAACATCAATTCTCGAAACGAAACATAAAACTTTTTCCTATGAATGAGGATGGCCGAGGTGGTTCTATGGGTGAGAGAGATGGGGAGGGAGGTGCCTTAACCAACAACCGATATCAGTATAATATAACAACATAACTTTCTGAACTTTATGAGCGCCGATTGCTGTTGTCATTTCACTTGGCTGCCGTTAATGTTTCTCCATGTTGTGGTTGTTGCTGTTTTTCATCCTGCGGCAAAAGTTGAAGAAGTTTCGAGCGCGGTTTTTGCGAAACTTTTGTCTTTTGATTTCGCCTGGCAAAACAGAGGCGAACAAGAAGAGTTTTCTTTCGAGTGAAAAGTTGTTGTCGATTTGTTGTGGTTGGCCTGCGTCGCTTCTTGTTTACTCTGGGTTAGGATTTTGTTTGTCAATGCAAAACCCCATACGAGTATATCGATTTACAGGCCACAAAGAGTGCCAATATCATATCGTATTCCCGATTACTGCACCTGTAATTAATCACATTTGCATGCGGCTCGGGTTTCACTCATTATGCACACACAGCAACACGCCGCATGGAACAATGGTCCTTTTTCATGTGGATTTCGTCGTGACAGCTCTGCTGAAATCCAATGCCGCAATGCCGCACAGATGCGTGCCCCACACTTTTGCGGGCGAGTGTGCTCCATATGGCTCATTGCCTGATTTGATTGATCCAACTGGTGACACCTCTCCGGGGGCTTAGACCGGGGTTAAATTGAATATGATGTGCAGGCGGATATGGGGCTTTCCCCAGCTGTGTCCTCGTGCATTTGTCTAAAATGTCAAATATAAATATTTGCGAGCTTCTTGTTTGTATTTCGTATTCGGGTTTCTAATAAACATTGCGCTTAGAAGGCGAGTCGAAATTGCGACGATAAATCGAGATGCTGGAGGCGTGTCACGTTTGCGTATTTACATGAAGACAACAGGACCAAAATACACACACACACATACACCCCACGCACACATACAAAGATCCTTTCTATTGGCTGCTTATAGATGCTACTCCTGTTGCTGATGTTTGCACTTTGACCCCGAATTGTTTTGGGTTTCCATTAATTACATTGTCAATAGATTTGAATTTGGGTGGGCGTACGCGCATGTGTCCTTCTTTGTGTAGTTAATGAACTGAATGTACTTCTGCGACGGGATGGTAATTGATAGGGGTTTTCAGCTGGATAAACTGGACCGCCTCACAAAAGGCGCAACAATGGTCTTTTGCGGTCAAAGTTTACGCTCAATGACTTCTGCTTCTTGAGAATTTATATGAATTAGGGATGTTTAATTAATGAGCTTTGTTTGTGGGCGACCTGGGAATTGAAAGGGTCTTTAAGCATGTCGAACAAGAAGTTAATTATAATCAGTTGGAAAAACATTTATTCTTGGGAATTATAAAAGTACCATTTCCAGATATTTCCCCTTTTTGTCTGCCACTGATTTTCATAACAAATGAATAAATAAATGTTTTTGGCTTTGCAGCAGCTGTAAAACAAAAAGAAAAGCTTATAGCCAACCGTGCGTATACGTTATATCCTCATAAATGCAATCCAGCTACTCCCGACGGAAAATATGGCGCGGTGCTTCTACTCCTACAAATCCTTCAAAAAGCCAACTTAAGCTGGCACAAACACACTTGCACATGCACACGTTAACACACAGACACACACACACCAACGGGACCAGGACATAACATACATTAACGTATCAATGGCTTATTGGAGGAGCAGGCAACTCGACTATATCCCCATATAAATAACTCTCCTTCACTTCCAAATGTGTCCCCCCGCCTGTTCTTTTTTTTTTTTTTTTTTGTTTTTTTTTGGAGGTTGGAGTACGTGTTCAAATTGAAATCCAATGCCAGCCTATTGGCAGGCCTAAAGAATTTGCCATTTCGGTGAGCTTGTTGTTATTCAAGGGCAGTCAACCTGTGTAATTAATGAATAATAATACCACTACAAAATTGTGGGCTTGATAACAAAATCAAGTTAAGGCCAATCTTTACTTATTAAAGAGTAAACTTCTGCAAATCTTTATAGAAGAAAAATTTGTATAAACATATTTTCAACTTTGTAGTGCGCTTTAACCCGAACTAAAATAACCCGACAGAAATATCCAACCAAATCTGACCGCAGTGACCAGTGAAAATGGAGTCGCGCCTAATGAACAAGGACATACAAATTGCGAGTATGCCCAACTGGCTGGCCGTTAAGGCCAACAAAATGGATTTGGGGCATTAAAAAATCAGTTTCGGCTGCCAAAATGTAAAAGCATAATAGCGAATCAATAAAGCCCCAGCCAAGTGGGGTTGGGTTGGTTGGTTGTGGGTTAATGTGTCGGTGGGTTTGGTCAAGTGCCGAGTGTTGGTGATATATTTTCCAGCCAGTCGAATTTTCCGGAGACAAAAAAAGTAACGGTGGATTGAACCTTTTTAAATTTAAAATAATTCTCATTTACACAGTCGTTAAAATTTGAAAAAAAATTAATATCCTGTTGCCCTAAGTCCTTAAGCCTTCAGTGTTCCCTACGTAAATGAATAATTAAGGTTTTATAAATGTACCATACATTTTCAGCAAATTGAAAAACATTTTGACTACTGATAAAAAAAAAACCGGAAAGAAACTCTATCAGGCATAACAATTGTTTTCTTCACGGTATAATATGAACATCAGTTCCAATGTATTATAAAATTTCACTTTTTAAGCCATGGTAAATTTAATGTGGTTAACTTGCTCTTCATATACGAGAATTTTTATACATTTTTACAACAGATTGCAACACCAAAGAAAGAAACAGCAAAATGGACTTGAAATCTAAATTAATTAAGCATCGTTTTTGTGACAATGATCACATTTACCATTTCTTACAATAAAGGTAGAAAGCTAAATGTTATAAATAAGACATACACCCAATTTTAAAGAAATTTTTGCAGAAAAATGTGATGACCCTTTCAGTGAGAGGATATATAAAATAGATGAAAAGTCACGAATCTACTGTAATGCATGGTTTACGAGATTTACTTTAGGAAAATCAATGTCAACGATTTTTTTATAACGGTTGCAATGCCACAAGAAACATTTTTCAAACGATTGAAGAATGTAAAGCTGCATGTAAAAATAAATGCTCCGCATAATGGAACATAAATACAAATGCAACAATAAAATGGTTAACAAATATGTTGGAAAAGTTAATCTTACTTTCAATGCCTTTATAAAGCTAATCCGAGCTGATAAAATTGAATTAGGTATACTTTTAATTAAATTATCTGTTCTCGTAGACTTTTAAATAAGTAGGTATTTATTTTGCCTTTTTTTGGGCATAAAGATGCCTAGTATATTGGGACAAGACGATACAAGATGGAACCCAAACTCATTTTCATCACTATTGTTTTATTGATATATCCGATTATTTCTTTTGCATATGATAAAGGTTAAATTCGTAGACTATATTTGTAGAAAAAGTGATGTTCCACGCGTGATAAAAGCTTTTGCAGGGTATGATTTAGATAGACCTTTTATAAGAACATATGTATGAAATACCTTGATGGTGGGTGTGGTTACTCACTAAACAGATTTATTACAAAGGAAGAATGTGAATCTTCTTGCAAAAATAATACACGTTAAAAGGGTTTAAAGTGAGAAACTTAAATGTGTCTAATAAAAAAATGTCAACAAAAATAAAAGAAAAGTTAGTCTTACTTTCAGAGCCTTTACATTTCTAGAGCTATTTCAAGATGAGTTTGAAAAGAGTTTGTGTTAAGCCTTGACTATAATGATTTATCGATTCGGGCACTAAAGTAGACACTCATTTGTCGGATTAAAAGTATAAAATTATACTTTTTAAACAAAACATCGAAGAAAGGTGTTTGTATTTAGTAAGGAAACGCCAATTGTTTTATAAACTGATTGATGAAATTTAAACTAGCTGAATTTAGTTTCGACTAAATTGTTACATAAACAGTACAAAACATGTTGTAACCTCTAAAAGACTATATAAATTCAATTAGCTACACTATAATTCGATTATCTGTTCTTGCATGCCACAAATAAGCATTTAAGTTTCTTTTGGCCATAATTTTTGCTTAGTATATTACGAAAAGACGATATAAGATGGAACCCAAACTAATTTTCATCACTTATTGTTTTACTGATATTTCAATTATTTCTTTGCATATGATAAAGGTCAGACTCGTAGACTACTTCTAGTTGGATTTGCACTAACGTCATGTATATTTATAGAAAAATGTGATGCTCCACCCGCTGTTAGAAGCCCTTGCTTGGGCATGATTTGGAAATGGAGCTTTTATAAAAACCACTGTATTGAATACATGGATGGTGGATGTGGTCCCTCTAAAAACAGATTTTCACAAAGGAGGAATGCTGTGAGAATCATCTTGCAAAAATAATACGCATTAA